GTGGGCATGGTCTGGTTGTAACAAACGAAGAATGGTGGCTTTGGCTATCCGGTCTGTTACATGAAAGGATCCCCACATAATGCGTCAGTTTGAACGAATTCACTTCTGACCACCGGGGTATAGTGTTCGTACTTGCTATCAGTTATTCTTAGCATGTATACTTCATAGTCAAGATGGCATGGAATTTAGTAAAACCGGACCCACAGCCTGCCACCAAAGAAACATAATCAGTAAAGTATTTCTTGAAATGGATCAAAACATTGGGCACTGGAAGTCGAATCAATCCGGACGACTCTCACCAGTTGACCAGCAATCGCCAGTCAAGAATATGCTTTATGCACTCATGCAAGGTGAATATTCGGTTCTAGTGTGCATGGTAGGTACTTAACAGCAGTACGCCTGTACACAGTATTGAAGCTTCGCTACCTCTCAGCCACCAATGGTCACTTGACCGCTAAAGATACTGTGAAGTTTGTCCGGTCCCTAGGTAAACTCGAACCCCGTCTTCGGATTACAAAGCAAGCTTCTGATCCGTAAGGCTATGGAGTAGAAGTTGCGTGACGATCTCTGAAGTTTGCTCTATTCCAGTGGCTAGCTTCTTCGTCTGGCAAAGCAACGATAGATGATTTGACTCACCACCGACCCTCCAGTGTTCCACAAAACGTGTGGTTCAAGTCAAACTGCTTGGTTGTCTCGAACTGCTACTGGCTATTCCCTCATGATATAGCAATATTTTCAATAGTTGAACAGCGTATCTTTTTCGAATAGCCAATGAATAACTACGTCTCCCTTATGCCTTAGAGGAGATGTCTGCTTTCAGGTTAAAAGATTAAATGTTGCGAGCACGTGACCGGCAAAATTTGCTTGCCTCAGTAGTAAGAATGTGACCGCGTCAGATGATAGATAGGATATTTAGTCGGTGTTATGCTCTGAGCAGTTGTTTAGCCAACAAACTCCCACAAAAATTAGGGTGGGAGCAAGCGCTGTTCGGTTGCCAACATCTAGCTGGTAGTGACCAAATTTCAGACAAACACACGCGTGTTTAGGAAACCTGTTCACATGCCTGATGAGGCACATCGATCACACCATGACTGCATTGCCAAGATGTAGCAGCGATGTGAATTGTGGCAAGTATTGTGCACACGTCTGGGCACATAGAATCGCCTTGGGGTCTTGCTTCCCAAACACCAGTGGGAAACAAGCTTGTCGCTACCGTGGTATGGCGGCATCCGTATCCAGATTTGCCTGTCACTGCGGCCTCCATGGGGAAAGTCACAGGACGCCTGCGCCTACACACACACACACACACTCCATATCTGGTGTAAACCCGAAGGAATAAGACCGGGAGGCATGTGGATGGGAGGAGGCAGGTAGATGGGATTGTCGCTACTATGTGATCTTTTAACAACAAAACCGCTAAATGCCTCGCATCTGTTGAAATAATCAAACACAGAAAAATAGCTTTATTGCCTCTGTTGCTGGAACTGTGCTGCTAACCGTTTAATCAGCTGATATCGATATCAGCTATGTAAGCACCCGGATGAGACGGAAACACTTACTGTGCCGCCAACAGAATAACCAGATACGCAAAAGTGGCATACATATGTGGTTCAGTGTATGCTGGTTGAACTGTACGCAGCCTACCAATTAATACTATGCGAAGACTCGAGAGATTTAATTAAAGGTTGATAAATGCGCTTGATTCTGCTGCGGAACGTACGATCAGAGCTAATCGTTCACACAAGGGCAGTAGATAGGGGGCTGAAAGTGAGGCATAGGTACTCAGGGAATTCACAATACATATGTATAGTTAACGACCGGGATAAAAGTTTGCCGAGAAAATGTGCGTCTATCTTGTTTGCAGCCATAAGCTTTTTATGTTTTTGTTGGGTGGAATATCACTATCTTGCAGTCTTTCCCCTTACACTCCACATCTTTCGCTGTTATTCATAATAATGACTTATTAATGGCCACGGAAAACATGATACATAAATCGTTTGGATAAGCGAAAATTATCCTTGGGTCCCGGTACTTTCACGCTGCTACTTGCTTCGCTGTTGCTCAGGTTGGCGACTCATTGATGGTCCGTGAAAACACGAGAAAGTCAAGTACTTGAATAAATGAAATATATTGTTGAGTTCCACCTCTACATTGACTTTTGCTCTACTCGCGCTAAGCCTGAAAACCCATAGCTGGCCTGGAAAAAACATGCGCATAGCAGGGAGTTGAATAATTTATCCACATCCTTGGTCCTTTTGTATTGCTTAACCCCAGAACCCAGTAAGATAAAAGGTATGAGTGCCCGAAAGACGTGGCGCGACTGAATGGCTAGGCTTTCGATGCCCCTCACACTAAACTAGCTAGTTTATGTAAGTAAATGCAGCTTCCCTCTGTTATCATATTTTGCCAGCTGTGTGATGCACGTCGTCCATTCTAACTGATATAAAAGTTCAAAATGGAGACAGTTTTCAGCTTAACTGCTTACCGTTGAATTGTTATTTAGTCTGCTTATGCGTTCTCGCTATTTTTAACATTATTGTCCTGTTAACATAATACGTCTTTTAATCGACTTTTCAATGTGTATATTGTTTCCCCACCTATCCGATCAATTTTGCTTTCCACATTTTTGCAACACACCTACGTCGTCCATTCTACAACCAAGTGAAACGAAAGTAGTGATGGAATAATCAGTGGAAAAGAACTTAGGTATGGTATTGTACAGAAGCTTTTTAATTTTGGCTTGAATTTTCTCTGTTCATTATGATCGGATCAGCTTTGCTGGGCCGTGTCTTGCCTCGTTGGGAATATACCAGTTATTATTAATTTCTGGACGGTGTCTTTGCGAAAACCATCGACCTGAGCATAATCTCAAAATCTTTTTCTATTCAAGCGAATCACATAAACCTTATTCGCTCTATTTGGCTTATACCTCATACTTACCATAACCATTGAGTGCAGACTGAATGCAGTCCAATATCGATTCTTATGGTTGATTTAATATTTTCAAACGGTGCCTCTCGGTAAAAGATGATAATCTGCTGTCAGTAAAAGCAGATCAAATTTGCTGTGTTAATTACGCATTGGTTTTGTATAGTCTTGCTATGCGAATCAATCAGCTGTCTTTTCAGGAGACCTAAAGTAGTTCGTGTGGTTTCCTTAGAACATAGCTATATTGCTCATGGAGTGCTTGCACGCCATCTGGGTTGTAGCAGCGAAACTAACCGCTCCGTATCACTTGTCAGCAACACATCAATCTGACTATGAACTGCGATTTTAACGAAGACTGACAAAAATGGAAGGACGGCTGGACCCGTTTTATCAAATTCTGCTAACCTACTGTGGGCATCTGTGCTGAGTACATAAGTGGGCTTTTGTCAAATAAACCCGAGTACAGAGTTAAGAAAGACATAGGTTTAGAGGTGCGGACAAGTATGAAAAATCGGCTTATCTTCTCGGTGAAAAGCCATATATGTGTACTGATCAAACATTTTTGCACATGCAGTATAAGTGAAAGCTTTAGTGAAACCGAAATCACTTTTCCCGGAAAGGGGACTTTAGGTATGGCAGTTTAATGACAGAAAGGGGGTGTTGGCAATGTCATTCGTTTTACTATATTTCGCACAAAAACAACCCGTTTGTTCTTGGTGCAAACAAGTGTGAGGTTCATCGCAGCTGGACTTTACCGTCATCACCCATAACAAATTGGCTTATGTCGTTGACTCGTAAGACTATAGACATGAGTTCGGATTCAGCAGGATTCAATGGACGCGCGGTACTAACGAGTCACAATAGGACGAAACGGCCGTCTAGCGCTTTCTTAGATTTATGGTTGCGCTTTAATTATCTAGCATCGACAACTACTTTCAAAATCACAGCAAATAACCTTTCTACTCTCCAAGTGTGAGTCTGCATTGTACATAGAGGCAATTGTTGCTGTCGTGGAGTTGGGAAAGCTGAAAAGAATTTCCAAGAAGATCAGGTTACTTTACTCGGTAAATGAAAACAAGCGTTATATTTTGCTGATATATTTTAAACTTTTTTAAATCACGATGTAATGCGTACAAAACTCGAAGTTCCTTGACGGTGCTTAAGATAAGAAAACTGTATTCTGTTGGCGCCACTCTACCCAACGGTAAAGACCGCGGTGTGTCCTACCGATTCGGTTTGATAATTCTAATCGGCCGAGTGGACCTTCGTTCTGGCAGCCTTCGACTAGGGTTGACTTGGAGTTTATGTGATCACTTCACACACTGGTCCTAGTCATCCCCGTCCTGCTATCCACTGTGTAACCTCCTTGAGGTCGCTTGAGTATACGTTGTCACTTAGCTTGACGACAGACAGCCCCATCACATTGATCGTACACTGCATGTTCTGGAAGTATTTGAACATAAAGCAAATATCAGAAGAATGCTGTCAAAAGGTAGCCACAAGCGCCACACAAAATGCTAGCGAGTTTAGTAAAGCGTGAATCTGGAAAATACTGAACATCGAGTACAGAAAGTATAGAATGAGAAGACATGGTCTGTGTTGCTTCATCGCCAAATTATCGGGCAAGCACACGGAAGCACGTCACTTATTACTGCGCATTATCAAAGCAATTCGCCAGTGCGAGAAAATCTCGAAACTTGTAGTCCGTAAAGTGGGCATCTAGGAATTTCTTGAATTTCATTATCGGTTTCACCTCTATTATTTTCTCGGACAGGCTGTTTCAATATTTGGACACCGGACGCTTGAAGCACAGAGGGTGAGCTCTCCGCTCTAGATCTGGCACTACATGGTTGTACCGACGCTTTTGAGCGCTGCTTGGTTCACGCAACTGCAGCAGCGGCCAAAGTATAGGGAAGTCACCCAAATGTAATAAACTTGAGGGATGTGCACAGTATGTGGGCTTAACATAAAACAGCTCGAAATGAGACACAGAAGTCAAGTCTCTGTTACTCTGTATAAAGCTGAAACTAGAGCCACTTGATGGCATGCAGCATGAATTGGGAAACTTTCTAATGCGTTGCCGGCGGAACAGCTTATTCGATAGTGAACCCCTTGTTCAGAATTCGCACGTGGAGGGGGGGGGGGGGGGGGGGGGGGGGGGGGGGGGGGGGGGGGGGGGGGGGGGGGGGGGGGGGGGGGGGGGGGGGGGGGGGGGGGGGGGGGGGGGGGGGGGGGGGGGGGGGGGGGGGGGGGGGGGGGGGGGGGGGGGAGGGGGGGGGGGGGGGGGGGGGGGGGGGGGGGGGGGGGGGGGGGAGGGGGGGGGGGGGGGGGGGGGGAGGGGGGGGGGGGGGGGGGGGGGGGGGGGGGGGGGGGGGGGGGGGGGGGGGGGGGGGGGGGGGAGGGGGGGGGGGGGGGGGGGGGGGGGGGGGGGGGGGGGGGGGGGGGGGGGGGGGGGGGGGGGGGGGGGGGGGGGGGGGGGGGGGGGGGGGGGGGGGGGGGGGGGGGGGGGGGGGGGGGGGGGGGGGGGGGGGGGGGGGGGGGGGGGGGGGGGGGGGGGGGGGGGGGGGGGGGGGGGGGGGGGGGGGGGGGGGGGGGGGGGGGGGGGGGGGGGGGGAGGGGGGGGGGGGGGGGGGGGGGGGGGGGGGGGGGGGGGGGGGGGGGGGGGGGGGGGGGGGGGGGGGGGGGGGGGGGGGGGGGGGGGGGGGGGGGGGGGGGGGGGGGGGGGGGGGGGGGGGGGGGGGGGGGGGGGGGGGGGGGGGGGGGGGGGGGGGGGGGGGGGGGGGGGGGGGGGGGGGGGGGGGGGGGGGGGGGGGGGGGGGGGGGGGGGGGGGGGGGGGGGGGGGGGGGGGGGGGGGGGGGGGGGGGGGGGGGGGGGGGGGGGGGGGGGGGGGGGGGGGGGGGGGGGGGGGGGGGGGGGGGGGGGGGGGGGGGGGGGGGGGGGGGGGGGGGGGGGGGGGGGGGGGGGGGGGGGGGGGGGGGAGGGGGGGGGGGGGGGGGGGGGGGGGGGGGGGGGGGGGGGGGGGGGGGGGGGGGGGGGGGGGGAGGGGGGGGGGGGGGGGGGGGGGGGGGGGGGGGGGGGGGGGGGGGGGGGGGGGGGGGGGGGGGGGGGGGGGGGGGGGGGGGGGGGGGGGGGGGGGGGGAGGGGGGGGGGGGGGGGGGGGGGGGGGGGGGGGGGGGGGGGGGGGGGGGGGGGGGGGGGGGGGGGGGGGGGGGGGGGGGGGGGGGGGGGGGGGGGGGGGGGGGGGGGGGGGGGGGGGGGGGGGGGGGGGGGGGGGGGGGGGGGGGGGGGGGGGGGGGGGGGGGGGGGGGGGGGGGGGGGGGGGGGGGGGGGGGGGGGGGGGGGGGGGGGGGGGGGGGGGGGGGGGGGGGGGAGGGGGGGGGGGGGGGGGGGGGGGGGGGGGGGGGGGGGGGGGGGGGGGGGGGGGGGGGGGGGGGGGGGGGGGGGGGGGGGGGGGGGGGGGGGGGGGGGGGGGGGAGGGGGGGGGGGGGGGGGGGGGGGGGGGGGGGGGGGGGGGGGGGGGGGGGGGGGGGGGGGGGGGGGGGGGGGGGGGGGGGGGGGGGGGGGGAGGGGGGGGGGGGGGGGGGGGGGGGGGGGGGGGGGGGGGGGGGGGGGGGGGGGGGGGGGGGGGGGGGGGGGGGGGGGGGGGGGGGGGGGGGGGGGGGGGGGGGGGGGGGGGGGGGGGGGGGGGGGGGGGGGGGGGGGGGGGGGGGGGGGGGGGGGGGGGGGGGGGGGGGGGGGGGGGGGGGGGGGGGGGGGGGGGGGGGGGGGGGGGGGGGGGGGGGGGGGGGGGGGGGGGGGGGGGGGGGGGGGGGGGGGGGGGGGGGGGGGGGGGGGGGGGGGGGGGGGGGGGGGGGGGGGGGGGGGGGGGGGGGGGGGGGGGGGGGGGGGGGGAGGGGGGGGGGGGGGGGGGGGGGGGGGGGGGGGGGGGGGGGGGGGGGGGGGGGGGGGGGGGGGGGGGGGGGGGGGGGGGGGGGGGGGGGGGGGGGGGGGGGGGGGGGGGGGGGGGGGGGGGGGGGGGGGGGGGGGGGGGGGGGGGGGGGGGGGGGGGGGGGGGGGGGGGGGGGGGGGGGGGGGGGGGGGGGGAGGGGGGGGGGGGGGGGGGGGGGGGGGGGGGGGGGGGGGGGGGGGGGGGGGGGGGGGGGGGGGGGGGGGGGGGGGGGGGGGGGGGGGGGGGGGGGGGGGGGGGGGGGGGGAGGGGGGGGGGGGGGGGGGGGGGGGGGGGGGGGGGGGGGGGGGGGGGGGGGGGGGGGGGGGGAGGGGGGGGGGGGGGGGGGGGGGGGGGGGAGGGGGGGGGGGGGGGGGGGGGGGGGGGGGGGGGGGGGGGGGGGGGGGTGGGGGGGGGGGGGGGGGGGGGGGGGGGGGGGGGGGGGAGGGGGGGGGGGGGGGGGGGGGGGGGGGGGGGGGGGGGGGGGGGGGGGGGGGGGGGGGGGGGGGGGGGGGGGGGAGGGGGGGGGGGGGGGGGGGGGGGGGGGGGGGGGGGGGGGGGGGGGGGGGGGGGGGGGGGGGGGGGGGGGGGGGGGGGGGGGGGAGGGGGGGGGGGGGGGGGGGGGGGGGGGGGGGGGGGGGGGGGGGGGGGGGGGGGGGGGGGGGGGGGGGGGGGGGGGGGGGGGGGGGGGGGGGGGGGGGGGGGGGGGGGGGGGGGGGGGGGGGGGGGGGGGGGGGGGGGGGGGGGGGGGGGGGGGGGGGGGGGGAGGGGGGGGGGGGGGGGGGGGGGGGGGGGGGGGGGGGGGGGGGGGGGGGGGGGGGGGGGGGGGGGGGGGGGGGGGGGGGGGGGGGGGGGGGGGGGGGGGGGGGGGGGGGGGGGGGGGGGGGGGGGGGGGGGGGGGGGGGGGGGGGGGGGGGGGGGGGGGGGGGGGGGGGGGGGGGGGGGGGGGGGGGGGGGGGGGGGGGGGGGGGGGGGGGGGGGGGGGGGGGGGGGGGGGGGAGGGGGGGGGGGGGGGGGGGGGGGGGGGGGGGGGGGGGGGGGGGGGGGGGGGGGGGGGGGGGGGGGGGGGGGGGGGGGGGGGGGGGGGGGGGGGGGGGGGGGGGGGGGGGGGGGGGGGGGGGGGGGGGGGGGGGGGGGGGGGGGGGGGGGGGGGGGGGGGGGAGGGGGGGGGGGGGGGGGGGGGGGGGGGGGGGGGGGGGGGGGGGGGGGGGGGGGGGGGGGGGGGGGGGGGGGGGGGGGGGGGGGGGGGGGGGGGGGGGGGGGGGGGGGGGGGGGGGGGGGGGGGGGGGGGGGGGGGGGGGGGGGGGGGGGGGGGGGGGGGGGGGGGGGGGGGGGGGGGGGGGGGAGGGGGGGGGGGGGGGGGGGGGGGGGGGGGGGGGGGGGGGGGGGGGGGGGGGGGGGGGGGGGGGGGGGGGGGGGGGGGGGGGGGGGGGGGGGGGGGGGGGGGGGGGGGGGGGGGGGGGGGGGGGGGGGGGGGGGGGGGGGGGGGGGGGGGGGGGGGGGGGGGGGGGGGGGGAGGGGGGGGGGGGGGGGGGGGGGGGGGGGGGAGGGGGGGGGGGGGGGGGGGGGGGGGGGGGGGGGGGGGGGGGGGGGGGGGGGGGGGGGGGGGGGGGGGGAGGGGGGGGGGGGGGGGGGGGGGGGGGGGGGGGGGGGGGGGGGGGGGGGGGGGGGGGGGAGGGGGGGGGGGGGGGGGGGGGGGGGGGGGGGGGGGGGGGGGGGGGGGGGGGGGGGGGGGGGGGGGGGGGGGGGGGGGGGGGGGGGGGGGGGGGGGGGGGGGGGGGGGGGGGGGGGGAGGGGGGGGGGGGGGGGGGGGGGGGGGGGGGGGGGGGGGGGGGGGGGGGGGGGGGGGGGGGGGGGGGGGGGGGGGGGGGGGGGGGGGGGGGGGGGGGGTGGGGGGGGGGGGGGGGGGGGGGGGGGGGGGGGGGGGGGGAGGGGGGGGGGGGGGGGGGGGGGGGGGGGGGGGGGGGGGGGGGGGGGGGGGGGGGGGGGGGGGGGGGGGGGGGGGGGGGGGGGGGGGGGGGGGGGGGGGGGGGGGGGGGGGGGGGGGGGGGGAGGGGGGGGGGGGGGGGGGGGGGGGGGGGGGGGGGGGGGGGGGGGGGGGGGGGGGGGGGGGGGGGGGGGGGGGGGGGGGGGGGGGGGGGGGGGGGGGGGGGGGGGGGGGGGGGAGGGGGGGGGGGGGGGGGGGGGGGGGGGGGGGGGGGGGGGGAGGGGGGGGGGGGGGGGGGGGGGGGGGGGGGGGGGGGGGGGGGGGGGGGGGAGGGGGGGGGGGGGGGGGGGGGGGGGGGGGGGGGGGGGGGGGGGGGGGGAGGGGGGGGGGGGGGGGGGGGGGGGGGGGGGGGGGGGGGGGGGGGGGGGGGGGGGGGGGGGGGGGGGGGGGGGGGGGGGGGGGGGGGGGGGGGGGGGGGGGGGGGGGGGGGGGGGGAGGGGGGGGGGGGGGGGGGGGGGGGGGGGGGGGGGGGGGGGGGGGGGGGGGGGGGGGGGGGGGGGGGGGGGGGGGGGGGGGGGGGGGGGGGGGGGGGGGGGGGGGGGGGGGGGGGGGGGGGGGGGGGGGGGGGGGGGGGGGGGGGGGGGGGGGGGGGGGGGGGGGGGGGGGGGGGGGGGGGGGGGGGAAGGGGGGGGGGGGGGGGGGGGGGGGGGGGGGGGGGGGGGGGGGGGGGGGGGGGGGGGGGGGGGGGGGGGGGGGGGGGGGGGGGGGGGGGGGGGGGGGGGGGGGGGGGGGGGGGGGGGGGGGGGGGGGGGGGGGGGGGGGGGGGGGGGGGGGGGGGGGGGGGGGGGGGGGGGGGGGGGGGGGGGGGGGGGGGGGGGGGGGGGGGGGGGGGGGGGGGGGGGGGGGGGGGGGGGGGGGTTCCCCCGTC